TTAACCCGAACCTCCGAATGGTCCACTACTATCATCAAGAGGGCGAACGTTTATCAATTAAGAACTGAGGAATTATCTGAGAAATTGGTTACTATTTTGTCGCTTAAATGCAAACGCCATTAATGAAATGACGAAGATAACGAAATCGGTCACTGCACTCTGGGGCCCCTGTTTTAGATGTGAATCGCGGCATTTTGATGGTTCTTGGAGGTTTTAGGATGACCCGCGTACTTTAATAAGACTTTAAGACTTGCCATAATTAATCAATAATCACGTAGTAATCTTAAATTAGTATTTTCATTTTTATTCGTTTTAAGGTCCGGAAACTTCTTTTCCTAATATTCTAATAGCTTTTTTTTTTATTTATTATTATTATTTTAATTTGTTTGTGTAGATTCTAATCTTCCCAAATTTTATTATTGTAACTTAGGCTAATAGGGGAAGACCCTTGTGAAAAGTACCATTCGCAGATTGGACCTCATACGTCCATGTCCTACCTATTTAACGTCATACTTGCATTTATTCAATGACATTTAATTTACGTTTTGGTGCTAATATTTTATTGATCAGGGATAGGAAAAGATTATTTAAGGATATTTTGAGTAGCGTTTTCGTTTTAAATAACTTTAAGGAGACGTAGATATTTGGCCCTTTTGTAGCAACTGTTGATTGCCATATATCTAAATAATTGAAATGAAGAGTAATTATTTTAGTTTTGTATTATCAAGTAGAGATTATTATTATTTAGCGGACGCGTCAAATATCGATTTTCGGTTTCGTAGTCTTAAGAATGCAATTATATTTAACCTTTGTTATTTTCATGCTCTGCGTTTTTTAACCTCACGTAATGTTTTTCTCTACACAAGTTTTACTTCACACAAGATTATTTTTTGTTTTATAAATCTTTGCTAGTTTTTTCTCATGTAAATATTTTGTTGATTAATGCTTCCATCATATGAATTATCTGACGTCCAATCTTAATCTCAGATATATATTCTTTGCTGTTTAAAATTTCACGAGAGTGTATGGCGAATTTAAATATTGTTTATATTTTTTTAAAATTTAACATTACTTGTTCAATTGTAGTTTAATATGAGAGTCATTGAAAGTGAACATTTAAATGGAATTGAAGTAAATAACATAGAAACACGTGGCAGAAGCGGAGGGTGCGGTTTCTAGTCTAGCTTGAGCAACACCAACGCATTCTTTGTTAGATTTGACAGTTACAGTTGTAGTGTCCCGATTTGAATTAAAATTTTGCATTAAAAAAAAGAACAAAGCCTCAACCATGGTAGAAGGAGACATGGTATAGGCATCCGATGTACCAATTTAAAAATGGTCTGCGCATCCATTTGTGACGTTAGGTGGCATCAACGACCTTGTGACTCTTGTGAGCTTCGCTAGGGAAGTCTAGGGAATTTCAGCTTGAGTTGTCATTGCTCTGTCCAATACGTCAATTAGTTGTCGGATAACGAATTGTATTTTAAATTTCGCGCTAATTTCACCCCACTTGACGTCACACCAGGTGCGTATGCCTATACCATGTCTCCTTCTACCATGGCCTCAACCATGTGTAGAGACCTTCAATTAGGGTAGACCAAAGACTTCAAATATATATAGACCGGCGATAGAACGAAAAAGCTGAAGCTAACCGGTCGCCATTTTGGATGTGACCGAAACCGCGGGAAGTTTAAAATCGTATACAATCGACTTCATATGAATAGTGAGTTTGCACATCATACACACACAAACTAATAAACTTCAACAATACTATAATTGCTGAATCTTAAATGCACGGAAACACGATCAAAAGAACCAAAGAAACTGTGATGACATCCACGTCACAACTGAAAGTGATACATAAGAAAGAAATAGGTTATGGATATGGGTTGTTGCGATGTTATTAGTGACAGAAAAGTGACAGCAATGGCGGCGATTTCTGTTGACAGAACTGCTTCACGAAATACAATAGAATTTAGGGTGACAGCCAGTCTATATATTTGAAGTCTTTGGGGTAGACCGTTTAGAGAATTAGTGAATGTCACTCTTTAGGTTGGTAGTTGGTGAGTCTACAGACTTGTTTTGGCTTTGTTGCGACACTTGTTGTCTTGTTGTTGTTTGTGAGTGTAAACACTTGGTGGAAATAAGGGTAGGTTAAATTTAGTCTGCAACTTCAAAAAGGGACTTTTTCTGATTTTCTGAACTGAAATGTGTGGAAAATCAACAATACGTCAACACGTGTTATTCTTTTTTGATGGTTTTAAGACAAGTTAACGATCATCCAGACTTCACTCGTTTGCTAATCAAGTTATAGACTTAAAACTAAAGTTCTGGTCGTTTTACTTAAGTATAACATTATAACACACATTTCTTGTAGGTTTAGTAATTTGTTTTTGCGGGTTGAATCTGAACAGTTATTCTCGATGAAGCGCAGCGTTTCCGGAACCACCGTATTTTAATTTTGAACGTATTGAATTTGTGTTTTTGTGTGATGAGGGATATCGGTTCACGAGGAAATTTGCGAATACATTTTCGTTTAATCAGTAACTCGAATTAACACAGAATTAAATGTCACGTAAATTCTTTGTTGGTTGAAATTCTTGATGGCATATGGCGTAGTTAATTTAAGTGAGTAATTTTAATTCTCATTCAGCCATCGTTCGAGAGAGATAGAATTTGACTTTAAATAATTAATCAATTAATTAAAATGGTGTAAGATCTACACTATGTTGACGATCATAGTTCAAAAATTTTGTTTACATGTCAAATTTTGGCGGGATGTTTGGGTTTATCACACTGTCGAATAAATGCAATTTCACCTCCTAAAAATTTGCAAGAAGTTAAAATATAATTAAGATTTTTTGCACATTTCATTTTTAGAACAAGCTAAACAACTAGCAACAATGTAGCTAAAAACAATATGAGAACTACGTTTTTAGCTATTATTACTATTATTTGGTGATAATAATTTCGAATTGAAGATGTCTTAGGTGAAATAACTTGTATGGTGTTTTACTCCCTAAGTGGTATACTGGAATGTCAGGTGTAATAAAAAATCAATTAATTGTCCACTTGCATCTATTAAAAATATATTTGTATGCATAAATTCATTTACAAATTTTGGTTGCCACTGACAAACAATATTAATAATATCATACTCTAGATGCCACGAAATAAAACACGTTTGAAAATGAATAAATAAATAAAAAAAAAAATAACAACAAGTTTAATAAAATATCTAATTTTGTGAAATATCGACATAATAGCAGCACCAAAAACCAGCAAAGTACAAAAAAACTACTTTTTAACTTCCCCTTTACCCAAATACTGTGGCTGAACGTGCCTTTTTAAATGCGAATTTTGTTTAGCTTTGTACACTCGAACCATTTAATATCCTTCTCGTCCAAATGGCGTGCAGTAACGTGATCTTTCAAACTCGCTTTTAATTTAGCTCTATACGGGCACTTTTCACACGAAAACCACTGAACATCCTCGCCTTCCAAATGATGCGTTCCAGTGGCGGCTCGTGACTTTTTTTCTCGAGGAGGCCACTATTGTATCATTATTTTTATAAATTTGTGCATTATTAAGAATGTTCCTTGCTGTTTCCAGTTTCACTGCACAAATTCAACGCAAAAATAAAACGTTTGACAAATAATATTTTTATGTACTTTGATTAGGATTGACGATATATACCGATCAAATAATTTAGCTCTACTCAACGTCATCGTTACAAATACATCTCCTCTTTGAAAATAATTGTTCAATAATAATGTTTAGAAATTTTGTATAAATATCGACCACAGTACATACAAAAATTGGTGTCGAAAACTGTGAAATTTGTTCCATATTTTAATCATATTTAAGACCCACCACTGACCCGGAAAAGACCGGCATTCAGACAAGACTTATTATCATTACAAATACAGAGGATAAGATAATAATGTTATGCATTGACAATTGGTTTTAAAACTTACCTGACCATAGATTGTCCCCGTGAGTCTTGTGATACCATACACTAAATTATTAAGGATCATAAAATTATTATGTATTTATTTAAGAGACTCTATATTTTAATGGAATCCGTCTTTCCTTTTTAGAAGCAAAATGATGTAGAATTTTGTCATAAAATAAAGGTTGTTTCATTAAATTTCGTACAAAGTCTTTTTCTATTGAAATTATTGCTAAATCTTGCAAACGATCCTGACTGACTGTATTGCGTGTGTATGTTTTTAAACGTTTTAACGCAGAAAAGCTTCGCTCAACTGAAGCAGATGTTACAGAAATTGTAAGAATAATACATACAATTTGTCGCTTCTATCAAGGATGCACAATCTCCTAGAATAGATGGATCATTATAAACAGCACGCAGCTGACTTTCTAATTTACTCTTATCAAAAACGTCGTAAAGTTCACAAAGATTACCAATTAATTGAATGGGAAAATCTTTCGCAAAAGTTTGAAATTCTTCAAAATTTAGCGACTCAAAAACTTGTAAATTTTCAATATCTAGGAACCTTACTTTTATCTGATCAATAATAATTTGTAATATTTCATCAAATTTTTCCTTATAAATAGTTTTTGGTTCATCATAAAATCTAGCTCTTTTTGTTGGTGGTTCAACATTATCCGTAAGGTCTCCAAAAATTTTATTAAAGTGTGTTTCCTCTTTTTGAAATCCCATTAGTATATCTATTAACTTGATTAATCATTTCTTAGCGTATGAAATGTGTGTCAACTTATTTTGTAAAATATTAAAAACTAATTCCGTTTGATCAAAAATTTTTTAACAAATTCCTTAAACCTACGGCTCCTCTGACAGAATTATCATCTCTGGCAAAACTATCACTATTAATAATAAAATCAAATACTTCAGTTAGTTTATCATTTAATGACACCACTGTTTGAACAGCTCTTGATGTAAAATTCCATCTTGTGTGTACATTACTTGGAATTCTTTTGTTACATACTTGATCTAAAATATTACATCGTTTCGTTGATTTTGAAAAAAAAGATGAAAAACCCGTCAAATTTTGAAAAAATATACGGACATCCCGGCAGCTTTTGGTTGCATCGCTTAAAACTAAATTTAAATTATGGGCATAACAATGAAAAAAACGTGCTTGAGGGGCAATTGTCTTTATTTTGGCTTGAAGCCCATTAAGTTCTCCAGCCATTACCGCTGCCCCATCATATGTCTAAGATATGAGCTTCGTATTTAAATTAAATTTTGAGACTTCATTAATTAATAAATTGTACAAATCGTTTGCTGAACGACCTGCACTAACATCGAAAAAAAAAACAGAAAGCGCTCTACGGGATTCCCTCCAACGACATAACGAAATATTACATACAACTGGGATTTACAGGCTATATCTGTTGTCTCATCAACTTGCCACGAAAAGAATGGGTTATCAAAAATTTCCTTATGGATCTCAGATTGAAATACGAACGCAGTGGATTCAATAATGTCATTTTGAATGGTTTTTGAGGTACCTGAAAAATCTGACCCCTCAATTCATATTTTTCATTGTAATTAGACATTAATGACACTAATTCCCGAAAATTCCCCCTGTTATTTGATTCTATTCTTTCATCATGTCCTCTGAAAGGCAATTCCTGTAACGCTAAATACAATACAATATTTGTTGAAGATTTCAAGTTCTTACGATTTTCGGTAACTTTTTGATTATAATTTTCTATTTCAATTTTCCTGGCATTATCGAGCATATTAGCAATATTGTTTGATTTGCCTAACATCTGATATTTTACATGCGCGGAAATGTGTTCTGCTGAGCAAGAGTGGCGACCAATAGCTCTTGACAAATTTTTTAAGTCAGAAAATCCATTTTTTACCCAGTTTTGATTTTCGGCGTTAAATTTACTAAAAAGAATAAAAAACCAACAAAACAGCTTATTATTATAAATACTACCAGTTAACCATTCACATTTTTTACCAATCTTTAGTAAACGAACGACACTTGGATCCATCCTTAACGGTCAAATCTGGCAAAGAAGGTGTCGGTTTTCCATTATTTTTTAAAATTACTTTTGTTTCGTAATTCAGTGATGAAAAAGAGTTGGTTATCAAAAACTTCACTAAAGAATTCTCACGTGACGCTTCAACTGAGAATTTTGTTTAGCTTTGTAAGGACACTTTTCACATTCATACCATTTGATATCCCGCTGATCCACATGGCGCGCATTTACGTGTGTTTTCAAGCAAGAATTCTCTTTAGCTCTGTATGGACACCGCTTGCATTCGTACCCCTTGATGCTTCGTTCAAGTGGTGGGTGTTTACGTGGTTTTTTAAGTTTGAAGAAAATTTACTTTGATAAGGACAGTTGTCACATTTGAACCATTTAACGGAGTCTGCATGTAAGTGGCGCGATTTTATGTGGCTCGTCAAGTTGGAGTGGTATTCCGTTTTGTACGAAAAGTCTTCACATTCGTACCACTTGAGATCCTTTTTGTCTGAATGGCGCATACTTATGTGGGATTTTAAATCAAAATGTTGTTTAGTTTTGTAAAGACATTGTCCACACTCAAACCATTTAATATTTTTATTTCTTCGTCGTTCAAGTGTTTTAAAGTTATGCGTTTTTTCAAAGAACCTGTTCACAGTGGTAGCATTTTTTATGATGATAATTCTTGAAAGAACTTAAAATTTCTTCCTGCAAATTTTGAAAAACTTTAATAATATTTTTAGAAAAATAAAATACATAACCTCAAAATATGTTTACGTCTGAGTTATGCAACACACAATACACTAGCCTTTACATTTTTTGATGTGTCGGACGCCAAAAATTTAACTAACAATATTTAAAAGAAACTCATTGTAAGACAAGAATGGTTATATTTATGTTTAAACCACAAAAAAAATTGTTTCGAGCTCAGATATACAAGTCAATCGATAAGACGCAGAAATTTATTTTAGTAACTTTCCGCTCCACCTTCCTCTAGGTTGGTATCTCGTTGCGGTGGGCAATTTATGACGTAAAACGTAAATGACATTTATTGCAGTGGTTGTCGTTGTGTGATAAGAGGAGGCGTAGGTGCTAGATGGGTGTCTAGAATCATCAATTTATTTTTAATTGCCCATTGTTGGTAAACGTTATCAAGACTGGGCGTACCGGGTAAATATGATTTTATCGGTTTATATTGTTGCATGTTTTCCGGAGGTCGCCCAATTACCAAACTAAAACTGCGTTCTACACCATTTTGTATTGATGTACCAGATTTTGCACTTTTTTCCCAACAATGAGAACGTACAGCATCCTACGTTAAAGTCAACAGTCTCACTGTCCATTGTAGTTGTTCAAATCGTGATTTATAATACCCGTGGGAGATGTTTTTGCGCTGTACTAAATTTTCCGCCAAAGCTGACCTCTTATATACACAATCGTTATCACTATCAGTTCAATTTTAGATTACATTCGAAATCGATAACATTCATAAAACATTGCTAATACGCAGTGGACGTTCTTTATTAAAAATGTCTTATTCACCTTTGCAGAACCGCACAATGTTCCCCAATAGGTTCAAGTTGGGGTCATCTCGGAACAGCGAATGGAAGTGTTTCTATTGTTTACATGTCAGAACGGCGACTATTCTGTTAGGGATATGGCACTTGGTGAGTCAAATTCGGGCGAAAATCGCTCTATATTGAAACTTCTTTGTTTGGTGTAGATACTGCATGTGCTCGCGTTGGCCGTTTTGGCACTGTTGATGCGTAATCACAATGTGATTATGCAAAGTGAGGAATTCGGACAGAGCAACTTTCTACCAACACCTTTGAGCAAAGTTAAGGATGAAGATAATCCCTATTATTTACCAACTACACAGGATGGTCGTACGATCTACTCAAGTGAGTTTCGTTGTGTTTTTGTTGTGAAAGTCGTACCACGGGTGTGTTTACAAAGAGCAAAGTTGCGTGAAGTCTTGTTTCGTGTTTGAAACTTGATCGCGAAATAAAGTTCAAGTGGTCAAAAAACTGAATCTAGAAAATGAGTTCATGCGTGATTAACACAGATAAGTAGTAATTATAAAAATGTTATAAGTCTAATGGATGTGTGAATCTATTTTGCAAACTTTTGTAATGTATGTATGATATTTTATCTAAAGCACAATTTAAACTCATGAGTAAGGATAACACAGATAAATTAAAAATTTATTTACGTTTTTTATATCAGCAATTAAATTTGGAATTTGTGGTTCAGGGGTTTCCAGGAACACCAATTATGTGCTAATCTATCAAAATAATTGTGATTTGATCATCAAAATCCTTGGAAAATGTAATTTAATTAACAATAGGTTGATATTTTATAAAATGTATATAATTTTTAGCGAAAGTTCCATAAATGGTCACTCTGACAACATATGTCATAATGTCAACATTTATTACTGCAAGTTAAGTTCTACACTAGTTGTTTTAAAATATTGGTGTGAACATGAATAAGACTTTTTCGGTTCCTGAACTCCGGCGAAAACAATAACCAGTGTTTTCGTAGAACACTTAAACCAAGAAATTCGTAATAATTCCATTATTTGCGTCGAGAATGCATTAGTATTCTTATTATTTTTTTTTATTTTTTTTTAGAATGAAAGTCGGGCCAGTAAATTGTTTTAGAGCTCCTCATCTTTCGTAAAAGTATTGACATAAAAGGATTTATTGAAATACAAATATTCGCAGTAAAACAACGTAGGTGTTTGCATGTTTTTGCTTTTTAATTAATTACTTTTACGTGTTTCGTTATACGTGATTATTGCCACTGGGTGTAGCGATTATTTTGCAGCTTGTATAAATAGCTATTGTGTGACATTTTTGCGACAAGTGTTAATTATTGTTGTTAGTATTAATAATACAATTTATGACTTTATCTAGCCGAAAAAATATTGTGACTCAATTTGGGTTTGTGACGTGTGCATTCGTTAATAACAATTTTTTTTGCTGCTGTCGAACAACCATTATGAACAAGGCTTATTTTAAACAATAATTTTTCAGTTTGCAATGGAGCTTTGGGTATTTCTGATTTTACTGGAAATACAACTGATTTTTTAAAAAAGGTGTATATTTACATTGATTCAGAATAATTAAAATATTGCGGGAGAAAGTTTTATTAAATTTCTGTTTAAAAATGCATTTCTTTTATTGTACCTCTGACGGAAAAGTTTTTACTTCAGAAAACTCACAAATTGCGAATATATTAGGCAAAGTAAAAATGAAATTTTAGAAAAAAAATGTAATTTTTCATTGCCGAACTGTCTTCAAATTTTGTAAAAAAATTGGTTGTACACATTTCAGAATTCAATTTTCCTATTTTTAGTATTGGAAGTTTATAATACAGTTATTGTACTTTGAAACGTGTATAAAAATTGCGCAATGTTGCAATTTATTGTATAGGGTGATTAAATTTATAACAAGTTGCTTTTCACATGAAAAATATTTAGCGTGAGTTAAGGAAGTACAGTAATCGAGTCCATCGGACGAATTGCCACTTTTATGTTTTCTCGACGTTTCATGACCCCTTGAGTACAAAAAAAGTAGTCTCCCGTTTCCGTCTGCATGTCTGTCTGCCTGTCTGTCTCCGAAACTGCTGGACCGATTGTCGTCAAATTTTGTATGTATGTTATCCCCACCAACAATTTGATGACGTCATGTCAATGGACCGTATTTTAAAATGAGTTGAATGTTTTACTCCTATACTTGTAGTATACGAATCCGCCCTCTGTTTTGAGAAGACAAAGTCATTCAAATCAATAGAGAAATATCAATTTTGCAATTAGGCTCCGCCCTTTGGTCTAACAACGAATGAAAAATTCATCAGAATTGAGATCGGGGCGGGTGGGTGGGGCTTAATTTTTGTTTGTTTTTTAAAATCTAGGGTTCTCTTTCAACAACAGGATAGTTAAAGATATTGTCAATTTCTTGTTGGGAAAAGAAGACTTCGCATATTAAGAAAAAATGGACAAAATATAAGCCCCGCCCACCCACCCCTTCTCAATTGTAATGAATGCGGTATTCATCGTGAGCTGAAGGACGAAGTTTAGTTGCAAAATCTTTATTTCTCTACAACAAATTACCATATGAAATGTGTTTTTAAAAGGGTATAATTTTCTAGAGAAATAATATGTTACAATTAAACTCCGCCCCTCGTCTGATTAAGAATGAAAAACTCATCACAATTGAGATCCCTTTCTTAATTTTTGTGTTTTTTTTTAATATATAGAATTTTCTTTCAACAACAAGATAGTTAAACATGTTTTCAGTTTCTTGTTGGAAAAAGAAGATTTCGTATATTAAGAAAAAATGGACCAAATATAAGCCCCGCCCACCCACCCCTTCTCAATTGTAATGAATGCGGTACTCATCGTGAGCTGAAGGACGAATTTTAGTTGCAAAATCTTCATTTCTCTACAAGAAATTACCATTTGAAATGTGTTTTTAAAAGGGTAGAATTTTCTAGAGAAATAATATGTTACAATTAAACTCCGCCCCTCGTCTGATTAAGAATGAAAAACTCATCACATTAAGATCCGGGCGGGTGGGTGGGGTTTATGTTTGTTTTTTTTTAATATATAAAATTTTCTTTCAACAACAGGATAGTTAAACATGTTGTATTCTTGTTGGGAAAAGAGGGCTTCGTATATTTAGAAAAAATGGACAAAATATGTATGAGCCCCGCCCACCCACCCCTTCTCCATTGTGATGAATATTTTATTCATCGTGAGGTGAAGGGCGGAGTTTAGTTTGCAAAATCCTCGTTTCTCTACAAGAAATTATCATGAAATATGTTTTTAAAACGGTAGAATTTTTTACATGTTACAATTAAACTCCGCCCTTCGGTCTGATTAGAAATGAAGATGTCATCACAATTGAGATCCGGGCGGGTGGGTGGGGCTTAATTTTTGTTTGTTTTTTAATATATAGGGTTTTCTTTCAACAACAGGATAGTTAAACATATTGTCAATTTCTTGTTGGGAAAAGAAGACTTCGTATATTAAGAAAAAATGGACCAAATATAAGCCCCGCCCACCCACCCCTTCGCAATTGTGATGAATGCGTTATTCATCGTGAGCTGGAGGGCGGAGTTTAGTTGCAAAATCCTCATTTCCCTACAAGAAATTACTATATGACATATATTTTTAAAACGGTAGAATTTTCTAGGGAAATAATGTTACAATTAAACTCCGCCCCTCGTCTAAAAATTGAAAAGTCGTGAAATTTCAAATCGAAAAACTGCAAAATCTAAAAAGTGAAACGTCCAAATGTTGAAAAATCGGAAAACTGGAAAATTTAAAAATAAAAACTCGAAAAGAGATCGTAAAATTAAAGAAAAAAAAAATTGAAAAATAGCAAATTGAAAAACTGACGAAACGAAAAATTGAAAAAAGTGAAATTTAAAAAAGACAAAATTATAAAATTTGGACATTGAAAAATTGTAAAAATAAAGAAAATAAAAAAAAAGAGACGAAAAATTGCGAATAGAAAATTAAAAATTGAAAACTCGAGAAACTCAAATCGAAAAATCGCAAAACCTAGAAATTGAATTGGAAAGTTGAAAAATTGAAAAATTAAATTTAAACTTCAGAACTCGAAAAAATGAAGGAACAAAAAAAAATAAAAAATTGAAGAAAAAAATCATGTCAAATAAGCTGAACTGGGAACGTTATTTACGCCACTGGTTTTTACTTTATGAAGGTTATCAGAAAACAAAAATTGCAAAAAAAATGATAATTTTTCAGAGAAGTGGGATTTAGTTGGCTGCACTTCAGGGGCGAGGGAAGTTCTCTTGAAATAACCTTCGACCAATTTTAGAAAAGATAGTTGGGACCCCCGAGAAGGTTTCACATTCTTAAAAAAATACGTTTGAGGCTCCTAGGAAGGTTTTACATTAAAAAAAAACGACATTTGGCGCCCCCGAAAAGGTTTTCCATTTTTAAATAAAGAGGGGCGTATTCTCACCTTTTCGAGAAAGTGGGGTAATTTCATAAATAAAATAAAATAGTTATGACGTCATAAACATACATAGATAACACAATGCGAGAGAAAAAGAGAAAAAAGAAAAAAAAAAAAACGTGGATTCGTACACCACACTTCTAGGACTACATTGTTGTATAACAGTTAAATCAAATAAACATAGAATTATTTGAAATGACGTCATCAAATTGTTGGTGGGGATGATTAGCAAAATTTTGGTTAGCATTAAACCATCTACAACTACATGATATTTCTAATATACATACAAAATTTGACAACAATCGGTCCATCAGGTTCGGAGATTGTGTCTAAAAAAAAATGAGTACACCAGACAGACAGACGGAAACGGGAGACTACTTTTTTCGTATTCTGGGGTCATGGACTCGATTACTATACTTCCTTAGCTTACGCTCGGAAAGTAGAAAGTAAACCTGTGGTAACGTAACATACTTCTATAGATGTAGTTTATGAATCCGTCTTGATTTCTTACCCCAGACATCCACATTTTTGGAAAAAAAAAATTATAACAATATTCCACAATAATTTAACTTTGAAACTGCAAAACGAGTGCTCTGAAATGTTGTAAAATTCTTTCTTTTATCCACTCTCAAAAATTTGAAGACATCATCATAAAATTTTGCCGGGATAAATCCTGTCTAAAATATGCAAAATATCATGAGTCGTGTTTCTTTTATTTGATACAACCCCTGTAATTTTTTTATTTTTAAAGATAAACATATAGTTCTTTGAGCAAATTTGTATGATTTTAAAAAATCACTTATATGAATAAATGACATGAGTGTTAATTTTTCAAGCTATTAATTAGATTGCCATCAATAAATAGGAATTTTTCGTCTATTTTATTGAACAAGTTTGTAAGTATTGATTTTAAAACATTGGTTGCTTTTGATTAAAAAAAAAATCAGTCTTTCCATTTGTGAAAACATATACCTAGTGTTCCATAAAAAAAAATGAAGTTGACGTCATTTCCGGTTCTATCGAAAGTGATAATAAAAATGTGAGGTTGCCATCACATAGATCTTTTTAAATGATACAAATCTGCTCAAAGAACTACAGGTTTTTCTTCAAGAATAAAAAACTTACAGGGGTTGTATCAAATAAAAGAAACACTCTGTATAGTTGTGATTTATCAGTACATTCATATTTTTGATTAGCAAAATTAAATTTTTGATTTTTGGATGACAGTTTTTCAATTTGTTTTTTTTTGTTCTTTTAAAACGCATTGAAATCAGACCTGTTTAATGCAGAATTAAATAGGAATTTAAAAGAGCAAATTGCTACAAATTTTTTAAAATCATTTTTAAAACCGGTTTGTCCAAATAAAACTGACTATTTTCGTAAATATGTAGATAACGAAAAAAATTCGAAACTTTCCAAAAAGCTATTTTCTAACTTGGCCTTCGTTTGGTTTAGGTGTTGAAACAAAACCTTCATTATTGTCAACAATGTCAACATGTTCGTGTGTACTTTACACAGTGTAAATTTTGTTAAGTCGCGTCATGTTTTAACCATCTTGGTGGTTACTCAGAACGGCAACCTAACGCAATACAAATAAAGTAGTTATTTAGCTTTTTAAAAATCGGTTAATGTTGATTGTTTCTTAAAATCTCTAAAATCGTGGAAAAAAATACAGGTTCACCGTCGTCTTTTCAATTTAAAATTTAACATGTAATATTTTATCAATTTTACAATAAATTCAGTAGTGTCAAAACTAATGGTATCTTTCGAAAACGCCGAAACAGGTCGATTTCTGTACCTGATACAAATACTTTATTGACTTTCCGTAAAGGATTGAGTTGTACTGCGGCGATTAAGGATGCTGAAAGCAGAACTTTACAAACTTTGTTGTCATGTTTTATTAATCAATAAGTCTTTTAAAGAAAAAAGAAAACTGCTTAGATTTCAATATTAGTGCAGAGATTGTACCAGATTTTAGCACTTATTGACAAATTTATTTGCTCTTTTTCAGCGGATATTGACATGGGCGCTTTGATGACAATATGCACTTTGTCTATCACTCTGTTGATGGTCTATGGAACCGTAAGAGGCAAATCAACTCATCTTCTCCCGTTCTTCTGTTTACAGCTGTTTGATTTTGCCATCACAACGTAAGTTAATAGTTGTTTTTATTTATTGTTTAGTACTTTCGAATGGTTAGATGGTATGCGTTGATTTTATAGATGCAATTTCTTTGGGGTTAACAGTTAAATAAGGAAAATTTTTGTAAAAATGAGTGAAAAACATCAGGATATTAAAAAATTAGAACGAACTGCGACAGAACACGGACCTTTTAACACAGACCAAAATTAATTCGTTCATTACTCAGAAAACTTCATTAGATAACTGAATACTGTTTTTCAAGTTGCATTTAGTTGTAATTGCAATTTATACTTCACTATCTGTTATTTGAATTGAGATAAATTGTGGCTTTAGGCAGCAAATTGGAGGTCATTTCCTTGCGCAACTGTATCTGACTCACTTAAAATTACTCAGTTATTAAATACTTACTTCCAGATGCATGTGCGCGAAATTCATTGTATAGACGATTTATATGCAAATTTCCGAGCTTCACTTTTGCTTTCACGCCGAAATCTATCCATCACTCGTTTTTGTTAACCAACTTGATGTTTTTCCTCTATAAATTTTTCATACTGATGGGAATATGTAGATAACGCTTGTTCGTTGTCGTGCCTATTACTCTTTAAAAGCACGTCGTTTGGTGCAATTTCCACCTCATGTTTATTTCAGACCTAAAGTACGCTATGCCTAAACGCGTAGTTGCGTTCCAAATAAACAAAAATAAAAATGTTGCGGCAATTAAGATGCCTTGATGCCTAGCAACCGCTCTCCCCGGATGCAACAGAAATCAATAATGCAACTTCAACGGTAAATTTAGCTAATCATTTTAATACATAATGCGATTTGTCCGCTGAAAGTGGGTGCCGTATTTTCTGTTCTTAGTTTTATTTTTAAAGGATTTGCGCCGGTTTTCCAGAAAATGAGATTTCCAGGGCTGGATGTTAAAAATAACTTGCACGTTCTCGAACGTTCGATTCAACGAAAATCAGTTACTTCAATCTGAATTAGACGCTGTAGATGTTGAAAGTGCCGGTTTGGCGCTTTCTGAAAACTATTTGTTTTGGGAATTCTTCCGGTTGGGAGAAATCTCTTTCAGGTGCGGATTGGAAGTTTTTAAATGGGATGCAGGAGAATAGTGCGGTAATTGTTATCAAAAGTGTCACTACCAAAAACCGGTAGAGTTTACGAGGTCCAATTAAATAGTTGGAAAGCACGCTAGAATATGCAACAGGCAAACTTTTACAATTTCCAGAGTTGAGTAAGTCGGCAGCACGAAAATTAATTACAGAGGATAGGTTTGATAGTTTCCGGGACGGCTTGGGTCATACCATTATAAAGGGTAGTGAAAGGTGGTTCAATTTTTGATCCGGAAGTACGATGATATTTAGGTCGCTTTAGCTTTCTAAATGATGACGGAAAAGTTGGGACACATTTTTGATGAGGAAAACTCAATTTAGTTGACAAATTGAATTTCGTGGTCAACACGGAATAATTAACATCAGAGTCGATCATTCAGGGATTAAATGGGATTAAATATTTTGCATCAGCTGCAAAATAAGCATCTATCCATAAAATGTTTCATGTCGTTAATAAGTAATTGAAATAGAAGCGGACCTGGTCGAGAACCTGGAAGATTTGAAAATCTCTAAAATTTATTTTTAATTGAGTTAGACAAGGTATTCCATTTCAGTTGAATGATCAATTCAATTCGAAAATACTATCTGCGTAGGAAATAAATTATACAATCATGAGTTTATATATAGAAACGCTAAAAATGGGTTTCGTTGGAAATAGGATTTTGTTTTAAAACTACCTCAAAGTTAATTTCATTACATTAAAATGTTTTGTGAAAAAAATTAGAGATCCGACATGAGGCTACAGGGGCCGAATAGTTCGTGACTTTTCTAATAAAGTTGAAGGGAAAGTTTTGAGCTATCACCTCTAACAGAACTACTTATACTAGTGACTAGTATTTGATAATATAAGACTAATTTTGGCACTTTTGACATTTTCGACTATTTTTCAACTACTATATTCGAAAATTAGTTGAAAACACTTTCTTGTAGATTTCAATATCCAGAAGTCATTTTCGGCTTCGTTTCTTCGGAAACTGCTACCGTTTTTCCAAAATTGCTATTTCGTGAAAATAGCTCACTATAAAAATTTTATAGATAAAAATGAAAATTCTTATTAATTTTTGTTTCACAAAATACAACTGTTACTTTGTAGTTTATATATATATCACAGAAACGTTTAAAATTCGTTTATTTGGGACAATAGAGAAGTCAGGACAGGTCAGATCACGTTGGGTCAAGTCTGGTCAGGTGCGTGAAATAAAAAATACATTTTATAGCAAATAGTATAACAAAAAAAGTTACGATTAGCGCGTTTTTTCTTACTTTATTCAGATCCTAGATTCTATTATTAGTTTCCACTCCCACTCGACAGAAGAACATAATTAGCCCCGCCCACCCACCCAGTCTCCTTTTCAGTGATTGATTTATCCGATCTGAATGAAATGAATGATCTTATACTGACCAGAAATTAAATTAGTCGTTCGAATGAGAAGAGAGGGGGTGGGCGGAGCTAGTATTTGCTAAGATAAGACTGATTTTGGCAAATTAAATACCTTCCAAGAAAATAGAGGGTGGGTGGGCGGGGCTAGTATTTGATAATACCAGAGTGACTTTGGCAAATAACATACCTTCCAAGAAAATAAAGGGCGGGTGGGCGGGGCTAGTATTTGATAAGATAAGAGTGACTTTGGCATTTTTGACATTTTCGATTATTTTACAACTATATCCGAAAATTAATTGAAAACATTTTCTTGTAAATTTCGATATCCAGAACATAGCAAATAGAATACCAAAAAAAGTTACGCTTAGCGCTTTTTCTTCACATCCTAGATTTTATTATTATTTTCCATTCCCACTCGACAGAAAAACATATTTAGCCCCGCCCACCCACCCGGTCGCCTTTTTAGTGATTTATTTATCCGATCTGAATGAAATGAATGATCTTATACTGACCAGAAATTAAATTCGTAGTTAGAATGAGAAGAGAGAAGGTGGGCAGAGCTAATATTTGCTAAGATAAGACTGATTTTGGCAAATTAATTACCTTCCAAGAAAATAGAGGGTGGGTGGGCGGGGCTAGTACTTGATAATATCAGAGTGATTTTGCCAAATAACATACCTTCCAAGAAAATAAAGGGCGGGTGGGCAGGGCTAGTATTTGATAAGATAAGAGTGACTTTGGCATTTTTGACATATTCGACTATTTTACAACTATATCCGAAAATTAATTGAAAATATTTTCTTGTAAATTTCGATATCCAGAACATAGCAAATAGGATAACAAAAAAACTTACGTTTAGCGCTTTTTTTCACATCTTAGATTCTATTATTAGTTTCCATTCCCACTCGACAGAAGACTTATTCACGATCTTTATACAATAAAGTAGGCTTTGATATTTTTTCTTTCAGTTGGATAAACTGATTTGATGATTTAGTATTTTGTCTGTCAGTAGTCTGATTGACATTTGCTTTGAGCTGGATTGCCACATTTCTACTTCATTTATTATTATAGATCAGAATTATTAGACGCAATTTTTTAATCAAGCAAACAAATGTTTTAATTTTGTCAGCATAGATAATAATTTGTCATTGTAACAGATTCACAGATCATTGCGACATTATTTAAAAAGAAAATGCCTAAAATAGTTTTACTGCAACAAAAAATTGCAATAAAAAGATGTTTTTGCAGTTTCGAAAAGATAAACCTGATCTTTCTTTCGAAGAAGTAACTATGAGGGTCTCGAACATATTTTCTGTAACTGCCCATTCACAATGGACATAAGACATAAGAACGAGCGCATAACATAATTTACGTTTTTGGTTTGTGTCTGGCTTATGCTTATCTACGTTCACAGTGGACAGAGTGAACTGTGTAAGAATTGTTAAACTGCGCAAACGCAGAACGGAATAACTCCCGGCTAAACATAGAAACGGCTAACCTCAAACTGAGTCAATCAAAATATCTAACCTACAATTTCATACGATATTCGAACTTGACAACTCGCAGTACAGAACAGACTCGCAGTGTGAAGCTTTGATTATAATTTATATAATATAATCAAAGGTGTGAAGTGCCAAGTGCCAACTGTCAAAGGGAATTCAACAGCAGCATTCAAAAGTCCCTAGATTTTAACATAAGTTTGACATAATTCGTGCACAAAGTTGAACTTGTTTCAACTTTGTGTACGCACACAAGGATTACATAAAACGTTCATAAGCATAAGAATTACGTTCGTCCACTGTGAACAGGGGTACACGTTTTCCATCGTTTCAACTTTATGTATTTATGTAAGCTTTATGTACTTGTTATGCCTTATGTCCACTGTGAATGGGCAGTAATGTAAAAATACGCTGCAAAATATTTTTTAATTTTTTTCTCACAGGTGGGAACATCAACTGTGACGAAAATTTTATCAACAGGGGACCAAAATTTAAAAAGATCACTTATCAGGCAAGCGAAAACCAACGGATTTATTTACAAATTATGTTTCGGAAAGCCCTCAACGGCAAATTTGGCAACTTAATGAAAAAAACAAATATTTCACTGTAGATACTCTTTTGGCATATTCTAGGGAACAGTTGGGATTTAAAGGGGGGCGAACTACATTATACAAAATTCTTAAGTCAATGGGTTATAAACCCAGGGAAGTAAATGGTCCCAAAATTCTATGTGAACAAAAACTTGTCGTTGCAGCCAAAATTACTTTTTTGAGAACATATTTACAGTTTCTAAATTCTTGTGAAAATTTGACTTTCGTGTATTTGGATGAAACATGGATCTATCAAAATGGTTCGTCCATTCGTCGCTGGGTGCACGATACTGATCTAAAGAGCAATCCCACCAAAATTAAAAGTGAAGGATCAAGGTTTACTATTCTCCACGCGGGTTGTTCAACGGGGTTCTTGGATGGTTGTAACAATTTTTTAAATTCAAAAAATAACGATAGAGACTC